CGCCCCCCAGCCTGCTGCCCCTGGAGGAGCGGGCGGCCCACTTCCGAGACATGCTCCTGGAACGCCGGGTAAGGCGGGCGTGGGGCGGCCGGTGAGGGAGCCGAGGGCCGGCCACCCTCCTCGGCCCCAGGGCCCGGTGCAGGCCCCTGGGGGCTGCCGGGACCCGCAAAGCAAGCGCCAGGTCTGGGGTGCCACCCCCAGAGGGCCGCTGGTGCACCCCCTCCAGCCGGGACCTCCTCCGTTGAAGCACCCCAAGTGTTTCCAGCAAGGTCAGGGGTCAGCGTCGCGGATCATGGGGCCATGTGACACGTCCCCTCCGGAGGGCTCTTTCTCGTGGACAGGGGCGTGGGCAGCCCCCAGGGAGGGTGGCCGTCAGAGGCCAGACCCCAGGCTGCCCCGCCAGGAGCAGGGCGGGACCCGCCTCCCCAGCGGCCCGGGAGCGGGGGACACGGGCTTTGGCCGGGGCTTCCTCGCCTTGGTCTCTCAAAGTGGAACCCGCCAGGGCCCCGAGGACAGAAGGTGGCCCAGCCACGGCGCGCGGCCCCCGACGGCTCACCATCTGCGTGGTGCCGAGGGCAGTGGCCCGCCTGGGCGGAGGACGTCTGGTTGGCCAGTGAGGGTCAGACCCTGCCCCTGCGGGGTTGAACCTGATGTCAGCTGCGGCCGTCCCGGCACAACGCTGCTTTTGTGGTGCTGGTTGGACGACTGGCCACTGGCCGGCCACGCTGGCCTGCCCGCTGCCCGCGCCTGGACCAGGTCCCCTTGTGAGGGGTCCCTGAGAGGGCGGGCGGGGAGGGGCCCGGCGCCCAGCGGTGGGGCTGGTGACCAGTAGCCGCTAGGGGCGTCTCAGGACCGTCCCCCAGGCGGGCGAGACCCTTCAGAGCTCAGGTCTTCGTGCAGGGCCAGGGGACCCAGGGGCACAAGCCCCCGCCCAGCGTGGGGACTAGGGGTGGCCCCAGCCCCGCCGGAGCCAGAGCAGCGCCCCCAGCTGCTGCGGGCACCTGGGCTGGCCACGCCCCCGGCCACGGGGTGGGG